ACAAAATTATGAATTGTAACGGAAATAATGGACTTGTCCCTGGCCAGTGTGGTTCAGTTGGTTGGAGCATCATCCCATGCACCGAAGCGTCGATGGTTCAATTCCTGGTCAGGGCATATACTTAGGTTGAGGGTTTGATCCCCAGTCAGGTAGTGTAACAGAGGCAACTGATATATGTTTCTCTCTCACATCAATGTTTCTTCACTCTCTCTGTCCCTTCCTCTAAGATCAATAAAAAGGCATATCCTCGGGTGATGATTTAAAAAAAAAATCATGGAATTACTTAAAACACATAGAAAATAAAAATCCTACTCCTCCTACCACTTACAAATATTCTGTGTACCCTACCACCATACATTTTAACTTTTAATGTAAGCATGTGGCATATAATGGCAGGAAATTAAGCAGCCATCATGGTCCACAACATGGAGCTGCATGATGAGGATGGTGCAGCAACGAGCTACAGGGAACTTAGGTCCCTGGCAACTTTTTGTAGCAAAGCTACCTCATCAGTTCATTCTTTTTCACAGGTAAGTAATAAACTTAAATAATTTTTTTTAATTTACTCACCCACAGCAGCCAAACTTAAATTTTCACATTGAGGAATATGAGCTTTGTCAATAATACAATGTCATACAAGTGTTTGGTTTTGTTTTTTGTTAATCCTTACCCAAGGACATTTTTCCATTGATTTTTAGAGAGAGGGAGAGGGAGGAAGAGAGAGAAACATCAGTGTGAGACAGACACATTGATTGGCTGTCCCCGTATGACCCTGACCCAGACTGGAGATCGAACTTGCAACCCAGGTGCATGCCCTTGACCAGAATAGAACCTGAGATCCTTCAGTAAGAGGGCAGATACTCTAACCTCTGAGCCAAACCAGCCAGCGCTGTTTTTATTTTATTTTTTTAATGCATTTGAAAGAGGAAGGGAGAGAGACATCAACGTGAGAGAGGAACATCTATCGGCTGCCTTCCAACTGGGGATCCAACCTACAACCTGGTATGTCCCCTGACCAGAATCAAACCCGTGCCACCTTTTGGTGTACCACATGACACTAACCAACTGTGCCACACTAGCCAGATCTCATATTAAGTGTTTTTAAGAAAAAGTAAAAGGGCTAAATTAGGGCAGTAGCAATGAGTAGAAAATTGAAAAGAAAAGCGTTTTGAAGGTTGAAGCAACAGATTATACAGTTGGGCAAAAGGGAGAATTGCAAGTTAAATATGAGCCACTTAATTAAGATAGAAGGAGAGTTGTATACAAACTGAGTTGATTTAACTGACCAAAGGATTTGAGTAATGTGTGTTAAGCACTTAAGAGAGAAGAATTTAAAGTAGAATTACAGCTCATTTACACAAAGATGTAAGTTTAAGTAGCTGGAATAATTGAGGTCACAAAGGGAGAAGTCATAGTAAAGGCAATCTTTTAGTGTTTCAATTCCTCCATCTTTTAAAAAAAGCTATGTATATAATAGTACTCTAAATGTTTCTCCTTTAAGTGAAATAATCTCAAAGTCCTACACGTTCATCTCACAAGCATTTTCAGCAATTAAGAGACATTGTTGGATTCAGGAATTAAATTTCATTGATCAGCTGAACAGCACAAACTGCAGTGGTCATTTTTACTTTTACATTGTTTTAAATCATTTTAAATTTTTAGTCAGATTGTTTTATTTGTCCCCATAATGGATTGTACTGGTTTAAAAACCAGAAACATGAGCCCTGGCCAGTTTGGCTCAGCGGTTAGAGCGTTGGCCTGCGGTCCGGAGAGACCCGGGTTCAGTTCCCGCTAAGGGCATGTACCTCGGTTGCAGTTTGTCCCCAGCCCTGGTTGGTCGTGCGGGTGGCAGCCACTCGATGTGTCCCTTTCACATCGATGTTTTTCTCTCTCTCTCTCTCTCTCTTCCTCTCTCTCCTTCCCACTCTATCTGTACAAAAAATGGAAAAATGTCCTCGGGTGAGGATTAAAAAAAAAAAAAAAATTATTAAAAAAAACACCAGAAACGTGATAGAAAAATGCACAAAATTGCCCTGGCCAGTTGGCCTGTGGACTGGACAGTCCCGGATTCAGTTCCCGTTAAGGTTGCAGTTTGTTCCTGGCCCTGATTGGGGTCATGTGGATGGCAACCACTCGGCATGTCTCTCTCACATCGATGTTTCTCTGTCTCTCCCCCCGCCCACTCTATCTGAAGATAAATGCAAAAAAGACCTCGAGTGAGGATAAAAAAAAAAAAAAAAAAAAAGCACAAAATTAATGAGGAAAAGAAATATTTCTGAAAATTAATCTCAAAAATGTTCCCTAAAAGTGAAATTTATATGATCAATACTTGCTCTGGCTGGCATCGTCCTGCACACCAGAAGGTGGCAGGTTCAGTTCTGGTAAGGGCACACACCCAAGGTCGGAACGAGTAGGGAAGGCAACCTCTCTCAAATCAATAAAAACATATTCTCAGGTGAAGATTTAAGTATAAATATATATATATATATATATATGAATGATCAAAACTCTTACAAAGCACAGCAAGGTATTTCTAGACTTCGAAAATAATTTTTAAAATAATTATTATTTGTAGTTTGGCTTTTCAGTTACTGAGGGGGGAAACATGTAACACTGTAAATGCGATTTTGAATAAAAAAGTACTCTAAAATCTTTGCTCACAAAATCATTCAGATTTTTAAAGTACCAAATATAAGAATTCCAAACAGATTCTGAGAGCAGTTTTTATTGATTTTTATGCTGATTTAGATACATTTTAATTTACACTATGTCGCAAAACACATTCATTTAAAAAGTGTTATCAAATTGTTTTTATAATTATACAGCATGCATCACTTGGTAACAGAAAAGAATCTAAATGTGTTTATATTATGAGATTGCAATGAAAAGTAATCTCTAACATATCAATTGTTAAATCATTTTCACTTAAGTCACTTAATATTGTTCATGCAAAAGTGATAATTTAAAAATGTCTAAGAATCTTCAGATTATGTTATTAAGTCTAGAGAACTGAATTCCTGAATGAAAAATCTGAAGATACTTACCTAATTATTTTAAAATTACTTATCTGGCCCTGGCCGGTTTGGCTCAGTGTTTAGAGCGTTGGCCCTCGGATTGAAAGGTCTCAGGTTCAATTCCTGGTCAAGGGCTCATATCTTGGTTGCAGGTTCCATCTCTGGCCCTGGTCAGGGTCATGGGGGAGGCAACCAATCAATGTATATCTCTTATATGAATGTTTATTTCTCTCTCTCTCTCCTTTCTACTCTAAAAATCAGTGGAAATGTATCCTTGGGTACGGCTTAAAAAACTTTTAAGCCACACCCAAGGATATTTTTGCATTTATCTTCAGATAGAGCGGGAGGAAGAGAGAAAGGAAGAGAGAGAAAGAAACATCGATGTGAGAGAGACATCAACTAGTTGCCACCCATACAACCCCAACTGGGGCCAGGGACATGCAACTGAGGTATGTGCCCTTAGTGGGAATCGAACCCAGGACTCTCTGGTCCGCAGGCCGACACTCTAACAGCTGAGCCAAACTGGCCAGAGCAAAAAAAATGTTTTAAATAAATAAAGTAAAATTACTTATCTGTTTAAAATTATAGAACATACTTATGCAATATAGTAAATTTGAAGTTGAAGCATTTTGACTTTAAGTTGTTTTAAAAAAACTAGAAAAGTAATAAATTTTCTCTAGCAAAAGAGATCTAAGACACTGATAATTTTGGTATTCATTTACCGAGAATGTATGCTTTCAAGAAAAAAATGGCAAATAGAGCATTATCACTTTAGGGCTCATCTTCATTATCTAATTTTCTGTATAGTTTATAACAGACTTCACAAAAAGAATATGAACCTATCCTTAATATTATTTTATGTGTATAAACTGGAAGCAACAAATATAGTTCAAACAAACTGAATGTCAAGTTTTCTAGAAAACCTGTGCTTCTTAACCACCAATTTCTAACATGTACCTTAGACATCAATTCAACACTGAAGTATTGATACTTGAGGCCATGTCTGGGTAGCTCAGTTGGTTAGAACATCCTTTAATATGCCAAGGTTGCAGGTTCGATCTCCAATCAGGGCACATACAAGAATCAACCAATGAATTCATAAATAAATGGAACAACAAATCGATATTTCTCTCTCTCCCTTCCTCTCTCTCTCTCAAATCACTAAGTGAAAAAATAAAACAAAAAAATTAAATTGATACTTGAACCCTTGCAATTTATATTTTATAAGACTCGTGAATTAGAAAGCAAAATTTTAAAGAAAATACTTAAATGTTCAATTATTTTACTGTTGTTTTCTTTGGTATTCCTGCAACAAAATACATGGTTCTGATGTTGACTCTGCCAGGTTATCAGTTAACCTTGAATAATTGAACACTAAACTCAAGGCAGTAAGATGAATATCTTTGCTTTCTTCTCATGCATGTCAAAACTGCGAAAGTTAATCACAAAATATTAGTCTTTTATTGACTAGGCTTTTGGATCTGATAACATTTCCCCCTCAAATGAAAGACAATTCTTGCTTACTACTTCGATTTAAAAAGAGAGAGAGAGGAAGAAAAAGAGGTGCTTCTTGTCTCCTTCCTTCCAAGCAAAAAAAGAGCTCAGAAGTTGGAATACTTTCCCTTAGAAAAGCCTCCCCAAGACTCAGGACAAAGCAACCAAGCATGTCAAGGCAGACCCAGAAATTTCGACATCTTCTATAGATCAGGGAAACCAAGATTTGACAAAATTCTTCCTTCACTTCCACTGTTTCTTACAAAGGCCAGCACTTTCCAGCTTTTAAAAAAGACCACTGCAGGAACGTTGGCCGCACACTAATGAACAAAACTGCCCAAACGCAGTACCTGACGCCCTAGTCAAAGGATAACTACGGAGAAGGACAAACACTTGAGCAGCGGCTCCTTCGCCACCAACTGAAATAAAGACATCTCTTTCGAACCCGAGCCTCACGGTGAGGTAGTCCCCTCTCCCCCTTTCATTGATTACCAGCCTTCTTCCTTTCTGAACCAGGCAGTCCATCAGCCAACTTCCTTTATCAGTAAAGGTTGATGGTCAGAATCTTTCCGAGACAATGACGACTGGAATAGCTCCCTGGAATTTAAGGAATCAATTTTAAGGCATCACAGGCCCCTCCAAGCCCTCACAATGACGAACAAACGGAAGCCGCCACCACCACCATTCACAGCTCCCTACACAGGGCTGAGAACTAGGCAAAGAAGACCGTTCTTTTTCAAGGAAGCGAGAAGACGCCGGATCTGTTCCCTCAGACCCCTCCTCTCCTCCACAGCTCCCTCAGGACCCCTCTACACCTTGAGCCACTAGGTGAAGTTTCAATTGCCAAGAAGCCCAGTCTCAGCCACACACAAGATGGCAGCCGAACACCTACCGGAGGAAGCAGCTGCGCCACCACTTCAGCGAAGCCGGCCTCTCGACTGCGGCTATCCCCATTGGCCCGGCGAGAGAGCGCGAGAGAACTCGAGAGCACTGTCAGCCAATCGGGAGACGGCGCGCTGCAGCGCAGCCGCCTAGCGGGCGGTACGCGCTCGGAGGCCTGAGGCGTGGGCTCAGTGGGGTGTGCAACCAATGGGCACACGGCCAGGAGGTGCCCGACTCCTCCCTTTTAGGGTTCGCGTTTGGTAGGCCTGGGTGTTACAGATTGGGCGGTCCTTCCTCCGGCCTAGGCGAGAGCTAGTAAATGGTGAAGTACTTCCCGGCCAGGGGGCACCGGGGGCCGTGGGGTGCTGGTGGCTGGGAGTTGGAGAGGGTCCGGACCCGCTGGTGAACGCAGCCTCGCCTACGGAGCGGGCGAACCGCAAGGAAAACGCAGTGGAGCCGGTGGAGCCGAGGCTCGGCTGGGGGTGGAGCCCGGACGGGTCCTCAGGCCCAGGACCTGGGAACGCTGGGGAGCCCTTGCAGACTCCCTGCTTTTCCCCACGTGCAGTCCTCGGCTGGAGAAGGGACTGCGGGCGTAGAGTTCTCATCCCCCATTTCAGTCTCTGTCTCGCTGTGTACACCTCAATGTGAGGTGATCGTAAGCACCCGCGAATCCGAGGCTTTGAAAGGGGCTGCAGGAAATGGACTGCAGCATAAAATCCAGAAGCAGAACTTGAACGTTTAACCACTGACCCATTTCTCAGGTAAGGCTACACAAGCCCTAAGTAAGTAAAATCATTTATCCACGATCACGGAGTCCTGACTCATTAGCCACAACCCAGTAAGTAATTCTCCAATGAGTAATTAAAATAAGGAACAGTATAATTAACTGTGCTCTTCGGCTTGTGGAAACCTGCAATAAGTTATGTATGTTTTAATGAATGAGGCTAAGAAAAAAGGTAACTGAGGCGGTAGAGTGGAATAAAAAAACATGAACTCTGAAACCATCCTGCCTGGTTCCTTATATTTCTGCCACTTTCACTAGAAAAACAGTCATGGTAATTTATCTGATTGTTATGCAGAATAAGAACAAGTGAAGTATTTAGAAGTGTGCTTGACACATGATTTATACTCAAATTATGTTCTTTACTGTTATAATTAAAACATAAAGAACAGAGGAAATGGTTACAGTTTCATAAGACCCTATTAAAAATGAAAAGGAACAGTAAATAGAAGTGAAACTGACTATTCTGCCAAAATGAGAGCGTGAGAAGGAGAAATAGATGAACAAATTTTAAAATCCCTGTTACACTCCAAAATATTAACATTGGTTGTCTTTGGATGGTGAGATGAGTGATTTAAATTTTCTTCTTTATGCTTTACTACGTTTTGCAAATTTCTCCACTAAATATGTTTTACTTTTGTAAGTTGTTGTTTTTAAATTTTTAGAATTTGTGAACAACATTGGTGAGAGCTTTTTTTTTTTTAAAGAATCTATTAATGAGTGTGCTTATATACTGTAGGTGGAAGTATAAATTGGTAAAACTTTTCTGGAAAGCAGTTTAGCAATATGCTGCAGAAAGCGTTAAAATGGACAATCCCTTTTTGAAAATTATATACTTTAAAATTTTAGTACACTTTTACATTTCCTTTTACAAAATTAGAACTTTACAGATGGATAATTATAACAATCCACAGCCCCCAAATTATTCCCTCTCGCCCCCGCCCATTCTTGTACCTAACAAAGACCTTTCAAGTACTTTCATTGTTGTTAATACTCACCCGAAGATATTTTTTTCCCCAATTGATTTTAAATAGAGTGGGAGGGAGGGAGGGAGGGAGAGAGAGAGAGGGAGGAACATCACTGTGAGAGAGAGAGATTGGATTGGTTGTGTCCCACAGGACCCAGACCAGGGCTGGGGATGGAACCTGCAACTCTCTGGTCACCCAGCCGACAACTGACAGCTGAGCCAAACCAGCCAGCGCTGAAGTACCCATTTTCTATTTCTTTTTCTTAATGATTGAAGGAGTTCCTTTTGTGTCCTGGATGCTGTGTATCCCATATACTTTTTAAAAAATTTCTTCAGTGTCTAATGTCTAATGGGCTATGTCCTTTTTATTGGTTACTCTTGTTAAAATATGTTACATTTTCTGTCAACTCTTTGCTTGACTTTTAACTTTTAACTTTTTTTTTTGCTGATTCCAGATTTTTCTCTTCTTTACAATTTTTAGGTCTCTTTTTATTTTACTGCCTTTAAGTATAATATTGAATATGAGCAGTGGTGGCATGTGTCCTCATCCTATGCCTTACTTTAATGAAAATGTTTCCAACGTTTCATCCTGCGTATGTTTGCTGCATGGTTTTAGTAGATAGTGTTTATCAGGTTAAAGAGTTCTCTTTTATTATTAGTTTACTAAGAGTTTGCCCTCTTCTCTCCTCCCTGCAATAGTTATTGACTCTCATTGATTTTCAAAATTTTGTTTTTCTGCATCTGAGATGATAGTTTTCTCCTCCATTTATCTGTTAACATAAAAATTTACATTGAGAAACTTTCCAGTGTTCAACTTTCTAGGTATTTCTAGGATAAACCATACATTAATGATATACTTTTAGTCTACTGATGCATATTTTTACTTACTGTTTATGCTTCTATGCCCATAAATTCTTTCGGCCTTGAGTTTCTTTATTTACATGTCAAGGTTATACTAATCTCAAACCAAAAAAACTACTATAGCTTCCCATACTTTACTGGCTCTGGAACTTTTGTATACTATAGAAATTACCTGTTCCTTGGTATCCTGGGAGAGAGAGGTGGGGATGTGTGGCATGCAGCTCTTGTAAAATCTTTAACCGTTCTCTTAAAATTTCTTTTTTTTTAATACTTGTTCCTTTAATTGGGATTTTTACTTCTTAAGCCTACTTGATATGAAGTCAATAATTTCAATCAGATAGTCATGGTGAATTGTTCTGTCAGTGTAAAATATTTGTCTCTTTTATTGGTTTTCATATTAAATTCTATTTTGTTTGATATGATTGTTTCTTGTATTTTCTGGTATGTCTTTTTTTACATTCCCTCCATTCAACTTTTCAGTGATATTTTGTATGATTTAAGTGGATCTTTTTAATTAAAAATACCATAACTAGGTTTTGCTTGGAATCCAATCTGAGAGTCTTTCTTTTAATGTAAGATTAACACTTTCACCTTTTTGCGTGGCTATTAACATATTTGGCCTTTTTCTTGTCATCTTATTTACCTTGCTTCTCTTTATATCTTTCATGCCTTATTTTTTAATTTCTCCTTTTACATTGAGGTTAGCCCGTAGTTGTCTTTGTTGTATCTGTTTTCTTTTTAGTAGATTTACATGATCAATACAGTTCTTAATTTTTTTTCTAACAAAGTCTAAATTTAATTATTATTAATATCCTCCCTATGAAGAACTTCACTTGCTTCTACTTCATTTTTTCTGATCTTGCAACACCCCCTCTCAACACCCCTCCTAATATAATTTCCCATGGTATGTCTCTAGCACTTTTGTTTTGTTAATAGCAACCATTTTTAATCTGTGTTTATTTAATATTAATGTGTTTTACTCATTTGCTCACTATTGCTCTTGTACCTCAGTACCTCCTTTTTGGTTTTTATTCATGAAGTGCTTACTTCTTTCAGAGAGACTCTGAATGTCTGTAAAATTCTCTATTTTTTTTTAATTTCAGTATTGAAAGATAGCTTGGCTGAAATAGTATTCTGAGTTCAGACTTATTTTCCTTTAACATCTGGCATTTCTGATGAGAAGTCTGATACACATTCTTTCAGATTTTTCTGGAAGCTTCTAAGACTTTTTTTATTGTTATTTTTTTAATCCTCACTTGTGGATATTTCTCTACTGATTTTTAGATAGAGGCAGAGAGAGAAAAAAACATCGATGTGAAAGTGATAGAGTGACTGGTTGCCTCCTGTATGATGCCAACCAGGGTTGGGGATCAAACCTGCAACCCAGGTATGTGCCCTTGACTGGGAATTGAACCAGCAACTTTTTTATTTTACTTTTTTTTTGAGAGAGAGAGAAATATCCATGTGAGAGAGAACCATCAATCACTGCCTCCTGCACTCCCTGTACTGGGGATTGAGCCCACAACCCAGGCATGTGCCCTGACCAGGAATCGAACCCTGCACCTCTCAGTCTATGGGACATCGCTCAATCCACTGAGCTACACCACTGGGCCAAATCTGCAACTCTTTGGTCTGAAGACTGATGTTCTAATCACTGAGAAAACCTGCCAGTGCTGTTTTCATTCTTAATATTCTGAAGCTTACCCACAGTTTGTTTAATGGTGTGTGTTAAGAATTTTATCCTGCCTCGCACTCATTGCACCCATAGTGGGCTTATGTGTTTTCCATGTCTGAGAAATTCTTGGTGTTTATTGCCTCTTCATTCTCTCTATTTTATTCCTCCTCTTATTATTTCATTGCTCTGTGTTTTGAGTGAATTATTCAACTCAATTTTCCAGATTGCTAAATCTCTCTTCATCTGAGTCTGTGCTGTTATTCAGTCATCTGTTGAGGTTATTCAACAACTGTTTTTATATTCAAGATATCTAATTGGTTATTTTTCAAAACTGTATGTTATTTCATGGATGAGGTTTCCTTCTTTTGCTCTTTGAGGATATTAAATACAATAACATTTATGTGGGGTTTTTTTTGGTTTTTTTATCCTCACCTGAGGACATTTTTGCATTTATCTTCAGATAGAGTGGGAGGGAGAGACGGAGGAAGAGAGAGAGAGAGAAAAACAACAACATGAGATACATCCAGTGGTTGCCACCCACACAACCCCAACTGGGGCCTGAGACAAACAGCAACCAAGGTACGTGCCCTTAGTGGGAACTGAACCTGGGACTCTCTGGTCTGCAGGCAGACACTCTAACCACGGAGCCGCACAAGCCGGGGCCAGTAACATTTGTTTTAAAATTATTTTCAGGTTGCTCTATTTAGTCTCTTGAATTTAAGCCCATCCGTTTGTGGGTTTGTTAAGTCTCTTTCTTGGTATAGCTTTCCTTAGCTGTTTGATGTCTCTTGATTGTGCACTCAACTCCTTTGAGGTTTTGCTCTTCCATTTGCTATGTTATGATGGTTGGCATGATCTCTACAGCTTCTCTTCTGTTTCCTTTCCCCAGAGAGGTCTCACAGACTTGGTCCATCGAGAATTCCCTTTTTGTTTTCAGCATGACTACATATTTTTAAGTTTTAAAAGATATTCTAACATTTCTGTGGGTTGGGAAGTGGGAGAAAAATTTACCATAAGTTAACTAATGTCTTGAGACTGAAAATTGTTGATCTCTTTTTGACCCATTAGTTCTACTTCTAGATGTATATCTTAAGGAAAAAACATAGATATGCATAAAGCATATTCTAGCATTTATTACTGAAGAAATTGAAAGTCTAAATGTTCAATATAGAGCTTTATTTACATTACTAATTAATAATTTAAAAATTTTTAATTATCTAAATTCTTTAGTGTATTTTAATATATGTATTATTGATCAAAGTACATTCATTATACAGTCATTTAAAAGTCATATTATAGAAAAATATTAATGACTGAGGGAAAGCACATAATATGTTTTCAATGAAAGATTATAAAAAATTATATATACTAAAATCCAGATTTTGTTTTAAAAGTATATTTACTGAAAGAGTAATAATTATTGCTGGCATTTATTTTGTTCTTTGTATGTGCCAGGGACTATTCTAAGTGTTTAAGTCTTATTCTCACTGCAACCCTATGAGGTAGTTAGCATTTATACCCATTTTTTAAAGTTTTATAATGCATTTATAAAGTGGGGATAATTTATGTTAATTAAAAATATATTAAATATGGGTGTTTCTTAATTTCTCTGTAATTTTCCTAATTTTGATATTTTATGCACTTTTCCAGTTAATATGCACTTTTTTCATAATAGTTCATGGTGTTTTAAAAGATAGAGCTATTGTTATATAACAGTCTCTTCTTATATATTTTATTCTTTATAAATATGCACCATTTTTTATTGTTTTCTTTGCAGAATGTTTTATGCGTTTATGGACCAAAAGATGGAGTTGATTTTTATTTTTATAAAGATATTGTCAGTGATCTGATACAACTGTAAATATTTAATTGATGAAGATTCGTGGACTTGTCATTATGTTGGACTAGTCATTTCTGAAAATTCTTCAACCACAATTTCTATTGAAACATTCAAGTATCAAAGAATACTGGGTTTAGAATGGTTTAATAATGTATTTTCTCTGAAGACTGCAAATTTCAGAGACCACAGCTAGATTCCAGTTATATTCTTCAATCAAAGTGATTCAGTCCTTTGATAAAGTTAACTGAAGAGTTTTATGTTTATAAACAAACCAAAAGATGGGAGAAAAAAATGGTAGGTTGAAAAACCATTATTACACTTTGTTTAAAAGTATGCAGACTACTTAAGCTAAATTGTGGAATTTTCAAGGTGTTTCATTGCATGTGCCTTTTCTGAATTCTAAGGAATTAAGGGTTTATTCTGATGTTGCCAGCAATTTCAACTGAATCTATAATTGATTGTGTATCTATAATGCTAAGTCAGTACTTTAAGGTACTTTTTAAAAATATTTACTTTTTAGCCCTGGCCAGTTTGGCTCAGCAGTTAAGAGCGTTGGCCTGCGGTCCAGAGAGACCCTGGTTTAGTTCCCGCTAAGGGCACATACCTCGGTTGCAGTTTGTCCCTGGCCCTGGTTAGGGTCATGCAGGTGGCAACCACTCGATGTGTCCCTTTCACATTGATGTTTCTCCCTCCCTCCCTCCCTCCCTCCCTCCCTCCCTCTTTTCCTCCCTCCCTTCTTCCCTCCCTCCCACTCTATCTAAACAAAAAATGGAAAAAATGTCCTTGGGTAAGGATTAAAAAAAATTAAAAATAAAAATATTTACTTTTAAGAAAACATTTAGATTCACAGAAAGCTTGAGAGGATAGTGCAGAAAGTTCCCATATTCCCTGCGCCCAGTTTTGCCTATGATTAACATCTTACATTTGGCTGATACATATGTTACAGTTAATGATACATTATTATGAACTAAGGTCCATGGTTTATTCCTATTTATTCCTATTTCCTTAGTTTTCACCTCATATCTTTTTCTGTTCCAAGATTCCACCAAGGATGCCACATTACATTAACTTGTCATTACATTACATCTCCTTAGGATCCTCTTGGATGTGACAGTTTCTCTCACTTTTTTGTTTTTGATTTTGTAGGATTTTGTATCCAGATACTTTTTAGGATATCTCTCTACTGGAATTATTGACTCTTTTTTTTTCTCCAGATTAGACTGGGATTATAAGGTTGTGGGAGGTAAAGTGCCATTTTACCACATCATATCAAGGGTATAGTTATTAGTATGGCTTCTCACTTGTTGATACTGAACTTGATCATCTGGCTGACAATTTTATCTGATTTCTCCACTATAAGTGACTTTTGTTTAAATCTCCCTTTCCCTGCTGTACTCTTTGACAAGAAATAACTGTGTGCAGCCCACAATTTATGGGGATTTGTACTCTTCTTTTAGAATAGAATATTTACATTAATTATTTGGAATTATTCTACAAGGGATAATTTGTATTCAGTCATTTATTTATATCAGTATGGAGTAATGGATGCCTATTTTATACTTTGGGTTATAATCTAGTACTGTTTTATTTTCTTATTCAAATTGTCCCAGAATTGGCCATTGGGAGCTCTTTCAGTTGGCTGTGTCCCCTTAATATGCCCCCATTAATGTAGGTGGGTTTTGGTTTGCTTCGTTTTTGTTTTTTAGTGCTTCCTTATTTTTTGGTGTTAGAAGATGCTCCAGGCTCATGTATATTTCCTGCCCCAGTCCTTGAATCAGCCCTTTCTTGAATGAGGCCTGGTTCCTTTTATTGGAAATGGTATTAGAAACCAAGATATGGGCAATAGGTATTCTCCTTGTTACTGGCGTTCTGTTGCTTTAGGCCCCCTAAGCTGACAGAGCATGGAAATATACGTGTATACTAACCTATATATACACATATCTATATGTATTTCTATATGTAAACATGTGTGTCTTTGTTAAGCTAAACACGAGTTTATATTGATGTCTCCAACTCTAGTCCATTACCACGTGGGTCATTCTTGCCTTCTCTCCTCACTTACCTGTAAACGTCCACTCCAACAAAGAATGTGGCTCCATCCACCTGTTATCCATTTACTTAATTGCTCTATTCCTGTATATAGGCATACCTTGGAGATACTGGGTGTGGGTTCCCGACAACCACAAAAAAATATCAAAGCAAGTTGTAATCTTCTTGCTGGTGGAGGGTTTTGCCTTCATTTTGTATAAAATGCAACATCTGTGTAGTACAGTAAGGCGTAGCACAGTAGAACAAGGTATGCCTGTATATGTATAGCAGTATTAGAAATGTCAATTTATTCCCAGGTGGGAAACTGCAGTGCTTGTGCACAGTTCCTGTTACTTGTAGTTGTAAAGACTTCACTTATTTCTGAAGTTACTTAGGTCAGTACCTTTTCCACCCAGCCCTTCAGTGAAGCTGTCTATACTTTTGTTGTTGTTAATACTCAAAGATATTTTTTTCCATTGATTTTTAGAGAGTGTGGAAGGGGTGTTGGGGGGAGAGATGTGAGAGAGCCACATCTATTGGTTACCTCCCGCACGCAACCTGGTAGGGACAGGGGATTGGACCTGCAACCCAGGTATGTGCCCTTGATCCTTCGGTGAACAGGCTGATGCTGTCTATACATTTTTAATACAGTTAGATGCTCTTGTCATAGTCTGCATTCATTCTTTCCTAGGATCCCTTACCTCTTAAATGATATTTTAAAATTTGTATACATTAAGGTTTACTCTTTGTATTTTAAAATTCTTTGGGTTTTGATAAATGCATAATGTATCTACTATTATAGTATTGTACAGAATAGTTTTAATGCTTTTTAATGTACTTATAATATATGGATTGTTATACAAATCATATAGTACTGATTTCACTGAACTGTTATCTAGGCCAGTGGTTCTTAAACTTTTTTTTTACTCTCAGGACTACTTTATACTCTTAATAGTATTTAAAATGCTTAACTGCTTTTGCTTATGTGGATAATACATGTTCATATTTACCGTATTAGAAATTAAACTGAGAAGCTTCAAAATGGTAATTGAGTCCTGCCCTGGTGGCTCAGTTTTTGGAACATCATCCCGTACACCAAAAGTATGCAGGTTTGATTCCCATCAAGGCACATACCTAGGTTGCCAGTTTGATCCCAGGCCAGGGTGTGTGTGAGGCAAGCGACAGATGTTTCTCTCTCACGTCAATGTTTCTCTTTCTCCCTGCTTCGCTCTCTAAAATCAATTTTTTTAAAAGAACATGTCCTCGGTGAGGATTTTTTTTAAAAATCCACTGCCTCATTTAAATCTAATTATATTTTTATGAGAAATAACTATTTTCTAAAACAAAAATTAGTGAGAACATTGTTTTACATTTTCATAGATCTTTAATAGTTGGCTTAATACAAGAGATTCTCATGTCTACTTCTGCATTCAATCTGTTGGGATATGTTGCTTTGGCTAAAATGTATGAAGAAAATGAAACTTCACACAGACAAGAAATTGGAAAAGGGAAGAATATTTTAATAGCATTTTAGATAATTGTCGATATTTTTTGTTTGTGTTTTAAATATGTTTTTATTGATTTTAGAGAGAGGAAGAGGGGAGAGAAAGAAAGAGAAACATGGATGTGAGAGAGAAACATCGACCTGTTGCCTCTGCACATCCCCTGATCAAGGACCAAACCCACAACCTGGGAAGTGTCCTGACCAAAAATCAAACCAGTGTAACCTTTCAGGGCACCGGACAACACTCAACCAACTGAGTCACACTGACCAGGGCTGGGTATTTTTCTCTGATACAGCTTTAGAATTCAACAAGTAATCATTTCTTCAGGGTTAGTTATAGTATGGTATCAGTGAGTTTTTTTACAGTCTGTTATATTAAAATTCATTGGTCTTTTACACATGTATGATTTTATAACATCATGCATTGTCCACTTGAATAGGTCTTTTACACATGTATGATTTTATAACATCATGCATTGTCCATTTGAAAAATATTGGTTCAGTGCATAATGCAGATTTTTCCAAATGTTGACATATTTCATCATATACTATTAAAAAATCACATTTGATGCCCTGGCCAGTTTGGCTCAGCAGTTAGAATGTCAGCCCGTGGACCAGAGAGACCCAGGTTTGGTTCTGTTCCCGCTAAGGACATGTACCTCGGTTGCAGTTTGTCTCCAGCCCTGGTTGGGGTTGTACGGGTGGCAACCAGTTGGTGTGTCTCTCTCACATTGATGTTTCTCTCTCTCTCTCTCTCCCTCCCTCCCTCCCTGCCTCCCTCCCTCCCTCCTGCTCTATCTGAAGATGAATGCAAAAATGTCCTTGGATGAGGATAAAAAAAAAAATCACATTTGTTAATATTGCTACCAATCTCATCACAAAGTCATTAATTATTGAGAAGTTGTCAAGCTTACCAGGGCAGATGCAAGGTTTCCAAATTAAAAATTTACCTTGGTAGTTACCAGCAAAAATGCTGTCAGTTTTGTCCTTCAAGTGATAGTCTCACTCTGTTCATTTTTCAAGAAAATGTATGCTAAACACCCAAGTCTGAAAAACCATAATTGTTATTATTGTGTGTTTTTTTTTAATGAAAAAGGATTTTCTTTGGGGGGAAAAACAAAGCCCCTAATTTGGCTTACAATTCAAGCAGTCTTACTAGTGCTTTTTCTTGAGCCATTGTACTGTGCTAATCAAGAACATTCTTAAAGTTGAAATTGATGGTGAAGAATACAGTGACTTACTGGTAGTTGGTACCCCTGCCTTGATTCATGATAAGACACTGACACTTGTATTCGCTAGTGTTTTTGTACCATCAATGCCAATATAGAATAAAAAAAGGCAAATAATATCTTAGTATTATTGAAAAAATAGTTTGACCTAGCATATTCTCTGAAAGGGTTTAGGGACCCTTAAGAGGTCATAGACCACACTTTGCTGATTGATCACAGACTCAAAGATGTCTTAGAGGTCCTAAAGCGCCTCAAAGGAGATAGAGAAATATAACTTTTTAAAGAAATGTATATATTTCTGTGTATGTAGGTCATTATCAGTGTACTTGTTAAGTACACCATATATATCTAGTAAATGAATTCAAATTGGTTTGATTCATGAGCATTGCATATTTAAAAAGATGTTTGATCTCAAGTGAGATTGGGAGACATAGTGTATATAATGTACAAAACTGCTATACTTCTTGCTTCATGATTGTGTTCTTGTAATAAGTAATCATATGTAGCTAATAAGGGAGCAAGTTTAGAGAGACAGTAGTTGTCAGATAGTACTCTTCATTTTGGAGGCAAGTAGGAGCAATGTTAGTATACTAATTAGATTTTCAACCCAAATACCTGTATTCCTTATAACTGTCTTCTAGTGAAATATTCTGAAATATTTGCAGTTTTAGAGTATAACTCTCAGCATACATGTAATGTGCAAAGAAGTAAAGGAACAAGAAACTAAAATTGTTCACATTGTAGTAACAATCTATACAGTCCACAGTTTAAATGAAAGTCAGTCAAATATTTCTTCTGATGATACTACTCATTTAGTCTCTTTGTTCAAAAAAGTTATTAACTGAATCTCTTAATCTTGTTTATCAGATAGGTTGCTTACCTCTTTTCTTAATATTACTGTGGTTAAATTTTCCATAGCAAGAAGATGAAGAAAAATGATCAAGAAGGAGGAGGTGAGGAACAAGAGCAATTGAAATATGAAAAGTTAACCTAACAGTATAAGATAGTAAGGATATCATAAGGAACAATATATTAAAATCCCAGAACAAATAAATATGATTACTTAGTTACATTTATTTATTCATTCTTCAAGCAGATAGTTTCAGTATTTTCTGATTGACTTTATTTTCTTAAATTATATTGCCAGTGTCCTCTTTATTAATCCAGTCCAAGACTAAGCATTTTCCCTGTTTACTTTTTATTTATTTATTTATTTATTTATTTAATCCTCACCCGAGGACATTTTTCTATTTTTTGTTCAGGTAGAGTGGGAGGGGGAGAGAGGAAGAGAGAGAGAAACATCGATGTGAAAGGGACACATCGAGTGGCTGCCACCCACACGACCAACCAGGGCTGGGGACAAACTGCAACCGAGGTACATGTCCTTAGCGGAAACTGAACCCCGGTCTCTCGGGACTGCAGGCCGACGCTCTAACCGCTGAGCCAAACCGGCCAGGGCCCTGTTTACTTTTTAAATAATTTGTTGTTAAGTACGTCCTGTTGGAATAATTTGGTATCATGTATTGACATTTCTAACAGTTTTAAATGATAGTCACTGAAAAACAAAAATTAATTTAAGTCCTGATTGATGTCTTTTAGCATCACTGCTGTTTTCTCAAGCCAGGAGTTATATATGATCCAGAGGATTATAGTGCTACAAAAAGCTATTTCTAAATATCTTTCAAAATCCTTCCTGTCTAGATATCTACCTCAAATAAAGATAAATCCCTAGTATGAAGTATTGAATCATATCCATGAAAAAACATGGTAACAGTAATCAATCAAGTGCTTTTGCAAATGGTTTTGCCTAAAAGCAGTAAGTTTTGTTGGTTATCTGTCAGTGAAAAACGTAATGATTTTAAAGATTCTGAGAAAGCCTTGCTTCACAAAACCTTTCTCCACTTAGCTGAATGATGTCTAAAATTCCACAGTTAAAGATTACTTTCTTTTGTCTAAGACTGTATTCCCTGTTAAATTATATATAGTAATTTCTTGCTGTCATGTACATCAACTTTGAAAAAGATGTTATTATTCCTATTTTACAGATATGATCACACAGCTAATTAAGTGGCAGTGTTGGGATTCAAACCCACATACATCTGAATTCCAAAGCACAGACTGTTAATCACTCTTATTCTTCCATTGATTTCTAAGATGCTACTTCTACCTGTTTGTTTCTCAGTCTCCGTGATTTCTTTTTCTTGTACTCATCCCTTACATGTTGGTTTTCTACAGAAGACCCTCTTCTCATTCTCTACACGTTCTCCTTAATCATATCTACTCTGTGGCTTCAGCAAGCAGTTGCATGCTATTGACTCCAAAGTTTGTCTATCTGGACCAGATCTTACTGTAGGGCCCATGTTATCCATTTTACTCACCCTACTTGAATTTTTCATATGTGCTTCTACCTTTATTTCCTATCTCAATGAGTACCATTAATATACATATGGTTGCCTAACTCAGAGACTTATAAAACATTCTTGACTCTTCCCTTTTTTCTCTGCCAAATGAGTGATAAAAGAAACAAATCTGATCACATTATAAGATGCTTAAACCTCCCTGTAGCCCTGGCCGGTTTGGCTCGCGGTCTGGAGAGACCTGGGTTCGGTTCCTGCTCAGGGCATGTACCTTGGTTACAGTTTGTCCCCGGCCCTGGTTGGGTCATGCGGGTGGCAACCACTCGATGTGTCCCTTTCACATCGATGTTTCTCTCTCTCACACACACACACACACTCTATCTGAACAAAATATCAAAAAATGTCCTCAGGTGAGATTAAAAAAAAAAAAAACTACCTCCCTGTAGCCTTCCATATGAAAGTGAAGATGCTTAGCATTGTACACAAGGCCCTCTAAGTCATGGCTCATGCCTGCCTCTAAAACATCATTTCTCACCCATTTGTCCACACGTTGTTTTAAATGTTGAAACATTGTCTCAGTTGTGCCAGTGGGAATTAAAATTAGGCAGTCTTGTGCACTGCACATCAGGCCAGAATGTTAACAGGGAAACAACACCCTTCCTTAGGCTGTTGTGGCAGCAGCCCTAATTAACCAGAGATCTTTTTTTGGATAAGGTGACTTTGCAAGGAAGAGTTAGGACTCTGAGGCCTAAGTCTCTTATGAAGATTCCTACTCCATTGCCAAACTTAGAGAATTTATAGGTTCTAGGTTTAATTTTTATTGAAGAAAATGTGTTTTTGTAAACTTCAATTAAACCTAATGGGTTCCCAAGTAACCTTTCTAACGTGCAGTTATTATATTCCTCCTTTGCTTAGGTCCTCAATTAATTTTAACATTTTATAAATAAGTTGTGTATAATATTTTAGATATTTTTTTTACTTTTAAACCTGGTTTAAGTGAGATTTGGCTTTTGCCAATTTATTTTAATTGCCTTTCTCATATATTTGTTTTTAATTTTGAAAGGATTATTTCCCTAGTAAGTTTTTTAAGGTGTTAGCTTGCTGGGCATATGCAATTTTGGATCATCTATATAACTTTATAAAAACTTAAACATTTTTGTTTCATGTAATTATTTAAAATTAATATAAAAGGTGTTTTTTTAATGTTTATTTTTTTGTTAATCCTCACCTGAGGATATTTTGTCTGTTGATTTTTCAGAGAGAGTGGGTGAGAGGGAGAGGGAGAGAGAGAGAGAGTTGGGGGAGAGAGAAACAGAAACGTAGATATGAGAAATACATGGATTGGTTGCCTCCTACATGTGCCCCGACCCCAGGGATCAATCTTGCAACCTAGGTATGTGCTCTTGACTGGGAATTGAACTCTTGACCCTTTGGTGTGTGGGCCTGTGCTCTAACGCTGATCCGCACTGGCCAGGACTTAAAAGGCATTTTTAAAAGCATTGCCCTGGCCGGTTTGGTCCAGCAGTTGGAACATCGGCCTGCAGACCAGAGAGTCCTGGGTTTGGTTCCCGCTAGGGGCACGTACCAAAAATAAATAAATAAATAAAAGTATTATTATTGGATATTTAGTTATTTCAACAATTGTTGAGGTATTTCATTCTGAAATCATCTACCTCCATACTCAGTGGAAGTTATATTCATAAAAGTTTTTAAATGAATGTGTGTCTAGGAATGTTCACTACTACCCTAGAATGAACTCACTCCTTTTGTTTTCCAGTCAAGAAATAGTCTCATTAAAATTCTCAACGTATTTTTTAAATTAGCAGAAATAAGTGACATACTTAGATCATATTCCTGTTTCTAGTTTTTTGTTAAGATACAGTGAACAAAATCTTCTTCCTCGAAAGTGAAAGATCAATTAAAATGTGACTTTATTAAAAATCCAAACAGATTGTCTGTAACATATGCCATGGGGAAATTAATCTATTTCTTTTTTCTTTTTTTAATTAAAAAAAAATTTATTGACTTTAAAGAGACAGAGGAAGGGAGAGAGAGAGAAACATTGATTTGTCGTTCTACTTATTTATGCATTCAGTGATTGATACTTGTATGTGCCCTGCCCAGGGATTGAACCTGCAACCTTAGTATATTAGGGTGACACTCTAACCAAGTGAGCTACCCGACCAGGGCTACAGTCTATTTTTTTTTTTTTTTTTTTTTTTTTATCCTCACCCGAGGATATTTTTCCATTTTTTGTACAGATAGAATGGGAGGGAGAGAGAGGAAGGGAGAGAGAGTGAGAAACATCGACGTGAAGGGACACATCGAGTGGCTACCACCCGCACGACCAACCAGGGCCGGGGACAAACTGCAACCGAAGTACGTGCCCTTAGCGGGAACCGAACCCGGGTCTCTCCGGACCACAGGCCGACGCTCTAACCGCTGAGCCAAACTGGCCAGGGCTACAGTCTATTTTTATTAAGGTCTTAGAATACTCACTGATTTATTTTAGGTGATGCAAAAGCTTTCTGGATGGAGCTGGAAGATGATGGAAAAGTGGACATCTTATTTGAGAAAGTGCAAAATGTGCTGCAGTCACTGAAGCAGAAGATCAAAGATGGGTCTGCCACAAATAAAGGTATGAAGCAAAAAAACTTTCAGTACATTTAATGCTTAATGGTACTCACTGGCATGCAGCATAATTCTGTTTCCGGTATTGTTTGTTTTAGAAGTCAAATGGCCCTGGCCGGTTTGGTTCAGCGGTTAGAGCGTCGGCCTGCGGTCCAGAGAGACCGGGGTTCGGTTCCCGCTAAGGGCGCGTACCTCAGTTGCAGTTTGTCCCCGGCCCTGGTCGGTTGTGCGGGTGGCAGCCACTCGATGTGTTCCTTTCACATCGATGTTTCTCTCTCTCTCTCTCTCTCTCTCTGTTCCTCTCTCTCCCTCCCACTCTGCCTGAACAAAAAATGGAAAAATGTCCTCGGGTGAGGATAAAAATAAATAAATAAATAAAATAAAATAAAAGTCAAATGATTTTGTTTTATAAGAACTTTACATCAGTTGTATTTGCTTTTTATTATGTGTATATGCTCTGCTTCTATAAAAACTTGCTTTTACTATACCATGGCTATTTTGTAAAAGTGGGGAAGATGCTTACTTTGAACAGTAGCTACTGAATTTATCTCTTTATCTCAGGCTACCTTTACCCCCCACCCATTTTCTTTTTTATCTTTCATGGCAGGGAGGGCATATTGCAGAAGTAATGTCTGCTTATTGTACAACATTTGGTACATATAGAAAAAATAACAAAAATTATCCATTCATCATTTAGTGACAACTAGTGTTTTTGAAATAAAAAAGTACATATAACTGTATTTTGCCTGTTTTAAGCAGAACGTGCCTTACTAGTCTTCTGAAAGCAAAACATGCATTCTACATAGGCATTCAATTCAGTCATCCAAGGTTTTGTTTTTTTTCCCTTCAACTCTGGTTGGTTGTAAAACATATTCCCCCACACTGTTATTTATTTTTTCTCAGACTATTCTGAATACTTTTTGGATGTTCTTATAGTATTAATTTTTTATGTGCTTGTCAAAAAAAATTAGTACTGTTTTTTATTTTAATATTCCTTTTCATTCCTTTATGAGTCTGATTTACCTAGGTTTGAATCCAGTACCACTTCCTAGCTTAACTGCTATTATAATAATAGCTTAGCTGCTAAGCTTCAATATCTTTGTCTCTAATGCATATACTCATAAGAACCTCTCAGAGGAGTTGTGAAGATTAAATGAGATAAAGTATGTAAATTGTTTAACACAGGAGCTGGGACCATGAATAAAGGTGATACTGCTGCTGAATGCTTTCATTCTTTTCTCCTTTCCTGAACAGAATACATTCAAGCAATGATTCTAGTGAATGAAGCAACTATAAGTAACAATTTAACGTTGATGAAAGGTATGTACATTTCTAGTCCCAATCTAGAGCACTCGCTGGTATTTTCTTGGTCTGAAGCAGGTCTGCCTAATTATGTTAAGTTAATTAAAGATAATTTAAAGCCCTGGCTGGTTTGGCTCAGTGGTTAGAGCATCGGCCTGCGGTCCAGAGAGACCCGGGTTCAGTTGCCGCTAAGGGCGCATACCTCGGTTGCAGTTTGTCCCCGGCCCTGGTTGGTTGTGCTGGTGGCAGCCAGCCACTCAATGTGTTCCTTTCACGTCGATGTTTCTCTCTCTCTCTCTTCCTCTCTCTCCCTCCCACTCTGTCTGAACAAAAACTGGAAAAATGTCTTCGGGTGAGGATTAAAAAAATAATAATAATTTAAAGACAAAATGTAAGATCTATTACTGGTAAACTATATAAATTAGTTTTTATATTAAATAAAAATTTCTATCCATCAGAGACAGGAAATGCACAGCCTATAAAACCTGCTAGGGAAGGAATGAACAAATGTATCTCTTCTTCAAAAAAGCTTTTTGTATAAGAAGGGCAAATAGAATTTTAAGTCTCCAAACCACTATAAACCAGCTTTGTGTGAAGAACAATACTAGAAAAGAAAATTATGGTATAGATAAATAGGTGGGAAAGTTTTTCATTTCTTCATTATTATTAGACTGTCAGTCTTCCAAACCCTAAACAAATTTATTTTATAAGGAATTAATCAAAGATATACCCAGACTAGGAAAAGAAAAATTGAAAGTTACTTTATTAGAATCACTATCCTATAAATATTTGTCTATCATTGCTTTGCTAAAGTGTTGAGAAAGTATATTTACTAGATTTTGATTATTACTACTACATATTATTGATAAATTATAATCATTTTAACTGCTATAATTTGGAGCCTTCAGGTTTAAATCTCTGAAAATATAGTCTAGCATCATCAGTATGTTTTAAAGAAATCTTTTATTACTCAAAAGTAGTCTCAATTTCAGTAGCTAACATATTTTTAGAATAGTAAATTTTATAAGAAAACTATTACAGTCACTTCTCACAGACATCAGAGAGGTATTGTCAGACAGTCCCCTGAGTTGAAGGGAGAGGGCTGTTCCCAACAAACTTGTCTTCTCAACAAATTCTTATCTTCTCAAGGAGAGATTTCAGATGATTCTGTTGTGATAAAGCCAATTTATTAAGAAAGTGAAACATGTAAATTTATTAAAGAAGCAAGGCAAGCAAATCTATATATCTGGCTTATGAAACGCATATGGACTCTCTGCTAATCTGAAGAGCGATTGGGTGGGGGTTTGAGGCATTATATACCCTCCTGTCTATAGGTTTCAAAATACCTCAGCCGAATATCTTGGTACAGATTATTTCTCAAGGTCCCTTTTTACTTTGTTGTGACCTTCCCAGAATTCATGAGAAGCACCTGGCAATTTTATCTTGCCAAACCTAGAAACTGCTGGCTTTTCTATTTGGGAAGGTAAAAAAAAAAAAACTGCCCCCCCCCTTTTTCCTTTCCCCTTCCCCAAAACAGCAAGTAAGAAAAACTCCCCTCTTCTCTCTGCCTTCTCCCCTCCTTTCCTGCATTCTTTTGTTAGGGAGGCTTTTAACCATTTGCTCTCAAGTGTCCTTGGTTTGGGGAAGAGAATGGCTTGTTATTTACAGGCCAGGTGTAGGCTGTCCAAACTGCTTGGCTTTGTTTAATTTTTTTGTCTCAGTTTCCCTATTCCTCTTGTCCTGGAATTTTCCTAGCTTTTTATTAACAAAAGAGTTAGCCTTTCACAGTATCCTTCAGTTGCACTTGGAATAAGCACACCCTTAAGGGATTACATTGGTTTTTAAGAAAAGCTTTTAAATATAGGAAGTGGTCAGAGGAACTAATACTAAACAATTCTTTTTTTTATTTCTAAGACAATCTATATTTCCCACTAAAAGAAAGTAAATGGGGCCCTGGCCGGGTAGCTCAGTTGGTTGGAGCATCATCCCATAAACCAAAAGGTGGCAGGTTTAATTTCCTGGTCAGAGCACATGATCCTGGGCTGGGGCATGTATGGGAGGCAACCGATTAATACTTCCCTCTCTCTCCCTTCTTCTCTGTCTAAAATCAATAAAAGCATACTCAGGTGAGGATTGGAAAGAAAATAAGTTGGGTTTTTGTTTTGATTCTTGTAATAATTTTGCAGTAGAGATGCTGAATATTATAATTTCATATTTTTATGTAGTTCATGTGAAATCTAATGAACTTATTAAAATCAAAGTATGTGTTTGCCAGAGGTAGAACAGTGGTTATAAGTAAGTAATTGGGGAGTTATGTAATTGACATTTTTGTCAAATACAAGGATTAACAACTTTGTAGTAATAAAATTTCATGTTAGTATTTAAAAAAGTACTGAGCCTGGGAATAACAAAAGGATTTGGTATTGAAATTAAAATAAGCCATTCCAGATCCAGCCTGTACTCCACAAATCACTCATTACCTGTATTTCCCTTGCTTGTGTATAACAAGCTGTAAATATTTGCTGTGTCCCCATATAAAGGATTGGATACTGCCTTCTTGAGAGAAATATTTTCCTTTTCCCCACTTAATTCATGATTAATTGTAAATGACCATGATTTTCAGTAAATTTAATTTCTAATTATGCTTATATACATTTATTTATTCATATTTGTTAATACGGATGTATATGACTCATGCAAAGAAATTAACTGAAAAAATCAAATTCTTAATTTATAAAAGATATATTTTTAATCAGTTATTATAGCTTGCTTCAACTATCAGATTTTAAACCTTTCTTTACTTAGGTAATTAAAGAGGGGTATTTGTTTTTCAGTGTGCCAAGGAGTGGCCTTGGATTATAACCTACCTTTTCTTTTATTTACTTAAACTTTTGTTCCTTTTTTTTTTTTTATCCTCACCCAAGGACATTTTTCCTTTTTTTTTTTTGTTCAGATAGAGTGGGAAGGGGAGAGAGAGAGAGAAACATCGACGTGAAAGGGACACATCAAGTGGCTGCCTCCTGCAGGACCCAACCAGGGCTAGGGATAAACCGCAACCGAGGTACATGGCCTTAGCAGGAACCAAACCTCCGTCTCTCTGGACCACAGGCCAATGCTCTATCTGCTGAGCCAAACCGGCCAGGGCAAACTTTTGTTTCTTTTTAATAAGACTGGACTCCATTAAAGGACAAAGGCAAACTAATAATCCAAGGCAGGATGAGAAATCATTTTTTCATTAAGGTCCATCATTGCATAGGAAAAAGCACATTTTTTTATGAAGTCTTTAAACCAAACATATAAAATATTCCACATACCATTGTTCACAATAAGAACAGGAAAACTTTTTTTTTTCATTAAATACACAGCTTATGTCTGTATTATATTCATGTTAGGAGTAAGAATAGATGAGTAGAAAAAGAAGAGATAGAAAACCAAAACTAAGTGCAGAAAGATATAGGAGAAACTAAGAGAAATATGAAAAGTCAAATGGAAAGACAAAAAGAGATACCCAAATATCCTACCCCATTCCCCCCATAAAATAAGTAATAATAAAACAATGAGAATATAACAGATACATAAATTTTCCATTTTATCACCTTTTTATAGAGCCTTTAAGAGTACACTATTTTCTGCCCTTGCCAATTTTGCTCAGTGGTTAGAGTGTCAGCCCATGTACCAAAGAGTCACGGGTTCAATTCCAGTCAAGGGCAACCAGTCCGTATGTCTCTCTCATCTCTCTCTCTCTCTCTCTCTTAATATCTCCCCCCCCCCTTCTCCCCCTTCTCCTCCTTCTCCCACTCTATCTAAAGATAAATGGAAAAATATCGCCGGGTGAGTATTTAAAAAAAAAAAGAGTTACATTATCTTTCTATACAATAAGAGCAGTATAGATACTTGATGTTCAACTTAAAAAACATTGATTAAAATTCAGATAAAGTTCAGGCCAAACTAGAGTTTATGCATTAGAAATTTTTTCTGTCCTAAGTCTTTTATTTCATCCTATCTTATTTTTTTAATGTTTTTGAAAATATTGACACCTAACTTTTGGCTCAATCTTTTTTTTTTTTTTTTTTTTATCCTCACCCGAGGACATTTTTCCATTTTTTTTTTTTTGTTCAGGTAGAGTGGGAGGGAGAGAGAGGAACAGAGAGAGAGAGAGAGAGAGAGAGAGAAACATCGATATGAAAGGGACACATCGAGTGGCTGCCACCCACACAACCAACCAGGGCTGGGGACAAACTGCAACCGAGGCACATGCCCCCAGCGGGAACCGAACCCGGGTCTCTCAGGACCGCAGGCCGACGCTCTAACCGCTGAGCCAAACCGGCCAGGGCTCAATCTTGATACCTTAATATGTTTGCAGATTTAAGGGCTCCATATATCTCTTTACATTGGTGTACTTGTTACTCATGTTTGTATTTTTTTCATGTAGATCACAAGTCTGTGACGAAGAATGAACAGGAAAACAAGTCAAGTTCATTACCATCTACATCAAATGAAGACTCCTTTCCAGAAGACTATACAATTCTGTATGTATATCAGTTAAATTTATTTGTTATTAATGCTTTTGCCCCCAGAGAGAGATTTACTCCTGCTAATCATTTGACAGAAGAGTAGATAGAATATATCAAAACAGCTTCATTCCCACTAAAAGCATTAAAGTTGTAAATTGTAGTATTTTATGTATGATAAAGGTTCATGGGTCCTTTAATAGGTTATTTATTTGTTAATATCCTTAGGTAATCAAGTCTTTAAATAAAATTTAGCCTAGGATGTCTTTGTATATTATTATACTAAAATCTACCAAATTGGTGGGTTTTTTTTAAACTAGAAAATTATTTTTCCTGGATTATTTCTTTTAAAGTGGAATATTAAAAAGGATCAAAAGTATTTCTTTCAGTATCAGTTCAGTTTTTAAAATGTATAACAGCTCTAAATTTAGTATCAGAATAGGCTAAATTTTTCTGACCTTTTCTTCTTTTACCACTAATTTCAATAAAGATTCCTCAGCAGAATTGTATAAGAGGAAATCTGACACTCTGACTAATATTTAGCCTTTACTTTTAGTAGGTGATGCCTGTACTAAAGGGAAGTTAAAGGGAAGTTTCTGAAAATGTTTTGTGCTAGGGTAGAGAACAGAATTTCAAAAAACCAAAGTCTCTTTAGAAAATGAGTTATTAAGTTGATTGTTTTTTCAGCTGCATATTAAAGTAACAAAAAAAATTTAATATGGAATTCTTTTTTCTTTTCAGTGTTTATGACAGTTGTGGATTGACATGATTACATGTGATTTGCATTTACAAATATTATTGATGTTATTGTACTTTGAGTCCAAAAGGTTCATAAAACTTATTTCAAAAAGTACTAAGAGAAAGTTAAGTTCACAGTTTTAAAACCCTTTAACTGGCCATTTCAATATCTGAATTCTGACTTTCTGATATACAGCACAAAAGGTTACTACCTTTTTAAAAAATCAAATCACTCTAAATCATTAAGATAGATTCTTTTTTATATAGATTACTGCCAAGCAAATTGTTCCTCATCTTATATTTAGATAATTATATTTTAACTTAAATGAAGGAGTTGGTTTATTCCTTTATATAGATATATGTTTTTTTATTGATTTTTTAGGGAGAGAGAAAGAAAAACATTGATCAGCTGCCTCCTGCAACCCGGGCATTTGCCCTGACCAGGAATTGAACCAGAACCTCTCACTCCATGGGACGGTGCTCAGTACACTGAGCCACACCCACTGGGCAGAGTTAGTTTATTTTTTTAATTTTTTATTTTTTATCCTCACCTGAGGACATTTTTTTATTTTTTGTTCAGATAGAGCGGGAGGGACAGAGGAAGAGAGAGAGAGAAACATCAATGTGAAAGGTACACACGGAGTAGTTGCCACCCGCACGACCCAACCAGGGCCAGGGACAAACTGCAACCGAGGTACATGCCCTTAGAAGATAGCAAACCCTGATCTCTCTGGACCACAGGCCGACACTCTAACCGCTGAGCCAAATCGGCCAGGGCCAGAGTTGGTTTATTAAGTGTCTCCCTTTTTAGTTTAAATATATTATCCCAGCTTATCAGAATCCTTTTGAATTTTGAAACTTTTATCTGTTATATTTTCTTATTGGCTTTTCTTACTGGCTTTTTATCTTGCACAAATATATTAAATATACTTTCTAGTCTTTATTGTAGCTCACTGCTAGAGACTTATTTTCATTACTCTTTAAAAAGAACTATTCAACCAGTTGTGAATTTATTTACATCTACCATTGCCCTGCCTACATTTCTCTGTCTTACTCAAGATTGTCATGAGAAATCAGGATTCACTGCTATAGCATTCTATATTATTACCAAACTTTATCAACCTTTATCAAAAAGGATAATTAGGTTTATTTGCACTTTTTTTTTAACATAGTCCATGTTGACTTTTCATATAATAAGTATTTAAGTCACATATCTGATTCTCTCTTCTAGAATTGTTTTGGGATCAATATTAAGCTAATCATCCTGTACCTTCTATAATATTCCCTTTTAACTTATTTTTATTTTTTTGTTGTTGTTAATCCTCACCCAAGGATATTTTCTTTTTTCAAATCTTTATTGTTCGGTGTAAAATGTATTACAGATGTTCCACATTTTTCCCCCATTGACCCCCTCCTCACCACTCCCACCCCCCTCCCGCCTTTTCCCACACTATTGTCTGTGTCCATTGGTTATGCATATAAATTCTTTGGTTTATTTCTCCCCCCGCCCTCCAAAACCCTTTCCCTTTGAGGTTTGTCAGTCTAGCAATGAATTTGTGCTTCTTAATCCCTTCACCTTTTTCACCCATTCCCCCAACCCCTCTCCCAACTGGCAACCAACAAAATGTTCTCTGTATCTATGAGAATGTTTCTGTTCTACCTGTTCATTTTGTTTGTAGATTGCATTGTTGATAGATACGTATTCATTGCCATTTTGTTTGTTCATACATTTTATCTTTTTCTTCAAAAAGACCCTTCATCATTTCATATAATAACGGTTTGGTAGTGATGAACTCCTTTAACTTTTTCTTGTCTGGGAAAGTTTTTATATGTCCATCGATTCTAAATGACAGCTTTGCAGGATAGAGTAATTTTGGTTGTAGGTTCTTGGTTTTCATCACTCTGAATATTTCTTGCCACTCCCTTCTGGCCTGCAAAGTTTCTTTTGAAAAATCAGCTGACAGCCTAATGGGAACTCCCTTGTAGGTAACTAGCTGCCTTTCTCTTGCTGCTTTTAAGATTCTCTCTTTATCTTGAACTTTCTGCATTTTGATGATAATGTCTTGGTCTGGGCCTCTTGGGGTTTATCTTGTTTGGGACTCTCTGTGCTTCCTGGACTTGTATGTCTGTTTCCTTCACCAGGTTAGGAAAGTTTTCTGCCATTATTGTTTCAAACAGGTTTTCGATTTCTTGTTCTCTCTCTTCTCCTTCTGGCACCCCCAAGATGCGAATGTTGGCACGCATTTGAAGTTGTCCCAGAGGCTCCTTACACTATCCTCATTGTTTTGGATTCTTTTTTCTTTTTGCTGTTCTGATTGGGCATTTTTTGCTTCCTTATATTCCAAATCGATGGTTTGCTCATTGGATTTACGTACTCTATTATTGAAGCTGTGTAAATTATTCTTTATTTCAGTTAATGCCTCCTTCAATTCTAACTATGTATCCATGATTTCCAACTGGTCCTTTTTTATGCTCTTGAGGCCCTCCCTAAGTTCACTGAGGTTCTCACTAAGTTCATTGAGCATCCTTATAAGCAGTATTTTGAACTCAGCATCTGTTAGGTTGCTTATCTCCATTTCGCTTAGTTCTTTTATTGGGGTTTTGTTCTATTCTTTCATTTGGGACCTGTTTGTCTCCTCATTTTGGTTGCCTCCCTGTGTTTGTTTCAGTGTATTACTTAACGAGCGGTATGGGGCTCACTGAGACCAGATGCTGCTTGTTTGAAAGAACTTAGGAAAAACCTGAAGCAGGATCCAAGACTGGCCAATCCTATGGTTAAGCAAGTGGCAACAGCTTGGGTGGGCTTGAAAGTTGGGTGGGGTGGGGCGGGGCCTCAGGGAGTCACCAGGGCGGGGCTACCAGTGTGAACCAGGTTGCTGGAGTCCCAGATATGGCGGCTGTCTGCTGCCCCAGGGAAGGGCTCACCAAAGGAACAAAGGCCTCTTACAGCACCTTTGTCCCCGAGAAAGCCCCCTCTCCCACCCTCGCTCCAGTGCCAAACAGCTCAGTTCTTCCCTGTATGTCTCTGGCGCCCCTCGAGCTGCCTCCCCTCCAAGCTTAGAGGGAGAGAGTCCGATAAGTCCGTGCGTGGGCCCTTTAGGGAGCTGCCTGGGGCTCCAGCCGCTTCAGCTTCCCTGAGCCTCAGTTCCCGCTGGTTTTTCCAGCCAGAAGTTATGGGGACTTCTCTTCCTGGCACTGGAACCCTGAACGGGGCACCTGGTGTGGGACGGGGACCCCTCAGTCCTCAGGAAGGACCTTCTCAACTGCGGGAGCCTCCTGATTTTTATCCGCCACACTTGGGTGTGGGACCAGCCCATCAAGCCGCCACCCCTCCTACCAGTCTGGATGTGGCTGCTGCTTTAATTTCCTAGTTGTAGGACTTCCATTCAGCTTGACTTCAGGCGGTTTTGAATGATGGTTGTTCTGTAGTTTAGTTGTAACTTTCATGTGGTTGTGGGAGGACGTGATACTGCGTTTACCTACGCCGCCATCTTAACCAGAAGTCCCCAAGGATATTTTCCCACTGATTTTTAGATAGAGGAGAACGAGGAGAGAGAGAAACATCATTGTGAGAGATACACATCTATTGGTTGCCTTCCTTACGACCCCAACCAGCTGGGGATCAAACCTGCAAACCAGGCACATGCCCTTGACCAGGAATCGAAATCAAAACCCTTTGGTCTGCTCTAATCCCTGAGCCAAATGGATCAGAGCTATAATGTTCTCTTTCTTTAAAAAAAAATCAAAGCAGCCCGGCCGGTGTGGCTTAGTGTTTGAGCATTGACCCATTCTCCATGAGGTCACCAGTTCAATTCCCAGTCAGGGCACATGCCCAGGTTATGGGCCAAATCCCCAATGTGGATCATGCAGGAGGTGGCCAGTGGATGTTCTCTCTCATTGATGTTTCCATCTTTCTCTCCCTCTCCCTTCCTTTTTCTCTAAAATAAATAAAGGAAAAAAAATTTTTTTTAATCAGGGCAGTCCTTTTTCGTTTTTCATTTTTATTTAAATTTTTGTCAAGACCTTGAGGTTTTATTTATTTGGGCCTAGAGTCATAAATTTATTTAAATAAAGCAACGTCTTAGGACCCTTTGTGTGTGTGTGTGTGTGTGTGTGTGTGTGTGTGTTTATTTTATTGATTTATTTTTGTTACAGATGTTTCTTCTTTTTCCCCCTTTGACACCCTCCTCCCTTCCCCCCCACCCCTGTTTCATCCCCAGCTTTGTTGTCTATGTCCATCAGTTATGCATACAAGCATATAAGTTCTGTGGTTTGTCTCT